TCATCCGTTCTGTTGCTCAACAGCTTTGTGTAAATACAACAAGCAAGAGAACATGGAATGCTCCATCCATGTTCTCGTTTACACCGTTCATAGATCACCTGAATTTTTCATGATGCAACTTAAAATTGCAACCATAAATCAAACTCACCAAATGTCTCAGAAGTTAAAAGAAATGTACTCAACAAACACGAAACCCTGATTTTTATGGACAATTCCAGTACGTTTTTTTATATAACACTGGCAGGTAAACGTTCGAAAGCGTCCGAAGCACGTTGGTGGAAGCCGTTGGAGGACGGTGTGGCGGCACCGCCATGTTGACCCGGTGATATCCTTCGAACAATCACATCCGATTGGCGTCGCAATTTTGCATCCGCTGACAGTAACATCTCATTGGGGTTACAAAATTCACGCGATGACAGCGAACCACTACTGGTAAGTTCCGAACCGTTCGGGATACCGTGCTTTGGATCGAGACCCGCATTGATCAAAATCGATGCGCATTCTGCTGCACCGGATGTTTGCGCATGCCATAACGCCGAACGACCCATGCTGTCCAGCACGCGCAGATCCGCATTGTACTGCAAAATTCGTTCATTTCAAAAAGAAAATTTTAAATGAAAAGACTAAGACTGATCAGTCAATTCAGTTAGATAACAAATCAGTGGAATTTTTTTTTTCTTTTTCTTTCTTCCTCCCTTCCATTCTTTCCTTCTCCTTCTCATCTCTGAAGACCAGGACCACCATACAGATGAGGTCTAGTCTCGTCCTGGTGTTGAGCTAAGACGTATATGACTTAATGGACCGAAACGTCTTAACTCTTTCGTACTTGTTTTTCCCATAACAACACACAGTTCGCTCTATGCCTACCCTATTTAAGTTCTTAACATTAGTTGTATGCTACCGTCAGCTTATTCATTCTCTGCTTGATAAAATTACAAACCTTGTCTGCGTTACTTGAGTAGTCTGTTTTAGTCAGTTTAACGGAACATTTTGTTACTTCCACCCTTATTTTAAAAGGCAGCTACTAAAACTTGGTTTGGTTGGCGCACGCACGATTTGTGAAAAAATTTCTCTTGATGGTAACGGGTAGCGTTGCCTAACAGTGACTGCGCGAGTTTGAATGCTGCAAGCGGAAGTGGAACTAGTGTGCTGCGGGCCCCATCTTAGGCAAGGAAGGAAGCTAGGAAAGGTGCACTTAATGGATTGTAGGAGTACGCAATCACAAGATCCAAAGACAACACACTGGAACTGCGTGGAATTTTTGTGTAACCCCAATCGACTTACAAAAAAATTCCATGCAATTCCAGTGTGTTGCCTTCGGCATCCTGCGACTTTCAGCTTCAATTAAGCATCAACTTCATAAATGCAGGAAGTCCTCTATTGCCGATGCATTTTCACAGCATAATTTTCA